TTATTACTAATATATCTATTTTTAAGACTTCATAACAATTCTTTTAAAAAAAATGAAACTGCCAAGTTTTGATTTTTCAAAAACTGAAATCAGGTCAATTTTTCTTTTTTAAAGTTACGTAAATATCTGTTTTGGTTAGGGTGAATGTATGTGAAGCCGAAGGGTTGGGGCTTCCTATGCTGCAAACTTATCTCTCTGGTTTTCATGACGCCGTGGACTTCAGAAAGTGGGCGAATTTTGCAGTGGCAGGAGCTACGGCCCATGATTCGCCATTGTTGGGAGAGAAAGGTGTTGAGAAATTGTCCACTGCTCATGCGACTGTGTATCTCGCTTGAGCAACTATTCGATCAAATAGATGTCTCCTTGAACAAAGCTCAAAAATCAAATGAACCCAACTCGATCCTCATAAATAACATATAAGTGGATCGCATTGGGGTGAGGAGAAACATTTTCAACAATCTTTCTCATGCCCAAAATCTCATTAGTGAGCAAAGTGTCGGCGATCGCAACCTGTTTCCATGTGGGTAATCCATAGGCTGTTTTGCAAGATAGCATAGACTGGTTTCTCGGTGGAAGAGAGAGAGAAAGAAAGGTTGAGAGAATACATAAAGGACCCACAAGAAAAAAAAAAATTTCAATTTAAAATTTTCAATCTAATTTTAGGTTTTTCAAAAATTGAAATTGACATGATCACAGTTTTTTAAAAACTGAAAATAGATAGTTTTGCCTTTTTAAAAAAAATTGTTATGAAGTCCAAAACAACGGATATATCAGTAATAACGAAAAGTATTCGGTATTTTAGTAATAACGGAAATTAAAAAGGATATTTACTTAATTTTCCCAAAAATAAATATCTTTACCCAATTGAAAAATTTGCCTAACTTGTTTTCTATTTTTTGTTAACAAAGTAAAATTAGATAGTTGACTTAGAATAAAAAAATAATAAAAACTTGAAAAGATTTAGAATGCAATTAAATATAGTAATTTGAAAAAGGATTCCTACCAAAATAAGAAACCCACTAAAAATTAATGAAATTTGAACACGAGGGAAATTAAATAATAGCATAAATAATATCAGATAATTAAATAAGGATGTTGTTTGCATAAGGTTGCAACCTTAAACAATTATAAGACGTACCTCCAAATTTTAAGATGCACTTTTGGTGTCAATAAATCTTTGGATGGCCTAAGAATCTATTTTCATCTCTAATTATAAATTTTTAAACTCTAGAAATAATTCAAAACAATTATATTTATAAACAAATTAAAAACTTGAAAATGGATGGTTTGAATTATATGTTGCAAGATACACTATATTTTGGATTCAAAATCTTTTCTTTCATAACTATATATCTTGATTTGGAAATAATCAATTAGAGAGTTTCCCAACACTAAAAAAAGCCTTTTCTAATGGATTTTTTTGAAGCGCTTTGATTCTACAGTTTAAGGTTGCAACGTTATTAAACTTTTCCCAAATATAAAAAAAATCATATTCATTTTTCATAAACTAGAGAAAATAAATAGGAACGAGGGCTAAAAAAAAGTAGAACTTATACAAGAAAGATTTCTTCATTATGAGTTACAGAATGAATTCTCAACTATATTTTACGTATGGATTAAAAACCAAGACGTGAATATAAGAAATTAAATAACTTTAAAAATAAGGGAATTCTATAAAAAAAATCCTCTAATTTTTTTTAAAATTTAAGAAGAGGGGGGCATATATATATTATGCTCCAATCTCACTTTTCTCAATTTTTTTTTATTTTCAAATTACTTCCTATTGAGACATCTAATTTCCCAATAGGGGTCACTTTCTTTCCAGTGAAAGATGGGTTTGATCATGTCTAAGACGGAACAAGTTAAGACATCCAATGTTTGAACAAAAATAAAGACAAAGTGGCCTAGTTAGGATATTCAATATCGGAACTTGGCCACTCATCAAATTGTTTGAGCAAAAGATTAATTCAGACATTGGATGAACCATTTTTTTGTCTTAACATATTTTTGTAACTAGAAATTATTGAAGGACTAAGTTCCAACATTTAACGTCCAAACTAGGACAAATTCTATAAGAAATGACCGGTTCAAATAGCGAATTGGGGTTAATTTGAGAATAAAAATTTTTAAACACGTGGAGATTGGAGTGTAAAATATAAAATAAATAGAACTATTTTATAATTATGTAACTTTTGTAAATTTCACTAAAAATAATACTAATGCCTTGTTAAATAAAAGCCAAATAATAATTTGTTTTAAGGGTTCATATGGATAGGGAACTTTCGAGAAAAATCTAGTATTTTTCTAAATTAAAAAAGCGTTCCACATATTTGCACTTTTATGCTTAAGCACCACTTTTTTTATTTTTTATTTTTTAAATTACCTTGAGTTTGTACATCCAATATCCTAATGGAGGTTTGCTTTGTTGAGTGAAAGATTGATTTGGACATTGAATGCATGAACCAATTTTTTTTTTGGGTAATTGGGCTACTTCACATATCAAATGTCCAATTTGGTCTTCCACTAAAAATGGCAAATGGTCAGGTTCGAACATTGAATGTCCAAACTCAGCCGCTTGTCAAAAAAAATTTTGAGCAAAAGCGATGTTCCATCATCCAAAATCTGAACCAATCTTTTACTCCACGAAACGAAGTGGGTTCAAACATCCAATTTCCAAACCCGAACACTTCTAACTTTTTGTTTTGAGCATGGGTTGGGTTCGGATAATGGAAGACGAGTCTGAAAATTAAATGTAGTTCACTTTTCATGTTCTGAGTGAAGTACCGATTTGGACATCTAATGTTTGAATCGCCTTTCATTAAAAAAAAATAATGAGTGATTGGGTCATCTATTTTTTAAGTAAAAGACCAATTCAGCCATTAGATGTCCAAACTTGTCCAACTACAAAATATCAATGTCTCAAGCCTAGCTACAAAAAAAGAAAATCATTTTAGATATTTGATGTCGAAACTTGTGTAATTACAAAAAATTAGTTCATACATCCAATATCTGACCCGTTTTGTTCCCTGAAAATATGTCTTTTGGCAACCCATTCCCATAAAAACGGCCTGTAAATAGAGGTGGTAATGGACCCGAGACCTGCAAGGTATACCCGATATTGGTCAAGTATGGGTTTAGCATTTGGATTTGACGGGTCGAGTCTGGGTCTAAAACTTGAACCTGAACACTATACGGGTGTGGGTCTAGGTCTAGCTGGATCCAACTCGTACCCATAAATTGTTAGAGATAAAATACTTTACTTTAGGCCCTATTCATTAGGGTGTATTAAGGATCGTATATAATTAGAACTAGTAGTCATCTTTAGCTATTAAACGACAAATCACACTGCTTAAAATCTAATAATGGATGATTGTGACCTTGTTGCTAATAATACGGGTATATGATGGTAAAAAAAAGAAAAAAATAAGCTCATTGTGAGGGTGACAATGGACCCGAGACTTGATAGGGTAGACTCAAGACCCGACGGGTATTGGTATAGATCCAATTTTTAGATCCGACGAATCAGGTTCAAATCCAAACCTAGACCCGAATCTATTTGGGTATAGGTTTGGATCCAATCAGACCCGACCCATATCAGACCCGTTGCCACCCCTACCTGTAAATGCAATTTGGATGCCCTCCTAGCGTAAAGAGTCCAATTTCTGTATGGAGATCGATTTCCACATTTTAAACCTTTTGTGGAAATGTGGATTACATGAAAATATGTCGATCTAACATTTTTAGGAGATTGAAAGACAGACACGGGCCCCAAAAACTTGCGGTAAGTTGTATTTTATAAAGTGGGTTGAGGTTCGCCCCAAAAAAAAGAACCTCAAACCCCTAAAGCTGTAATAATTATTATAATTAAAATAATTAATATATGAATAATAAATAATACATATTTTACATTAATTATAGTTAATTATATATTACTATATCGTACTAATTTGTATATTGTAATAGATATAATATTGCAATCTATAATTAATATATTGTATACAAAATAATTAATATACAATTAATATATTAATAATATATGCAATATTATGATACATAATATAATATTTTATTATTTCATAAGGGCATGTTTGGTTTGCTCAAAAATATTTCTCAAGAAATATTTTCATGTACAAAAATTATTTCATCTGGTTAGGCGTGAGAATATTTTCATACTAATTAGCTATAGAATATTTTCATACTAATTAGCTATCAATTGATGTAAAAAAAATGTATTTTGACCAATTATATGAAAATATTTCTACATGTAACCACATGAGAAAATTATTTCACATGAAAATATTTTCTGAAAAGTATTCTCACATAAAACATATGTGCTCCAATATTATAATATTATATTATAAAATTATTGGGAGATACGTCTTCCAAGCAATCAAAACCAACGTGGTCAGATTCGCTTCGGAGTCTTCCGTTTGGTGAGAAATATGAATCATTTCGGTGCTTCAGTCGATTCGAGGGAAGATTTCGGAATTTTTTTAATTTAATTTAATATATATAAAATATATACAAATAATAAATAATAAAAATAATAAAAAATAAAAAATACTTTTATATAATTATTTCTTTGTTGGCCAAAGCAAACCCAAAACATACCCGAAACAGACCTGAATCTGACCAAAACAGACGAAAGCGGCCCAAATCTGACCGAAACGACGACACCAGGATTTGCTTCACTTCGGCTTATGCCTAAAATAAAAAATATTCCGCCTATTTGGCCGAAGTGAAACGAATTTAATAATATTATGGACACCGATTTCCAAGGAACAACGGGGAGAAAAGTGAAAAGCTCTAATTTGAAATAAAGAAATTTGAAAAATAAAACTTTGGAGTAGAATACAAATATGTGTGACTATTTTAAAAATTTAAAAATATTTTTAATTTTTCATACAAAAATTAAAATTTCCGTTCATTCTTATTTTATCTTATCGAGCAGCACGTGGCATTGGATAGTTGACGAGAGACAAAGAAGAGAAGGGATGAGAAAAGGAGCGAGAGAGAGAGATTTGAAGGACGGGAGAAAGGCGAGGGACAAAATTTGACACCCACGTTTGTGGCGGCAACAATACTCCACACCCCTCACCCAAATCTCTCTCTCTCTCTCTCTCCTCACACAACGCCATGGCTCTTCTGCAACTCCAAACCTCTCTCTGCAAAACAACAGGCTTCATAAGGTCCCCAAATCGTTCACCTCGTGTCTACTCTGTTGTCCCCGCAATCAGAGCAAAAGGTAGAAATCTGCAGTTTTATTTCAGCTTTTGAATTCTATAAGGTTCAAATCATTGTTCCGTGTGCTATTTAACTGTGAATTTATGGCAATGAAATTTTGGGAGCCCCTCCTGTTTCTTTTTCTTTGATCCGTCTCTTGCTTCACTTCTTAGTTCCATTGATCTTCTTGTTGTTTGGAATGCTCTGGCATACCTATATTATTTTGCTTTTCTTGTTTGATGATGGAATGTGTAGTTAAATTCATCGAAGTCGAGGAGTTTCTGCTACCATGAGTGGCGTACGGTTTTGATTTATTGAGAGCTTTGATGCGTCTTTATTATTTCGCTCTCATTCTCTATGAATGCTTCCATGAGTGGCTGAATTCCTACTGTTTTGCTTTCTAAAACTAAGAGCTGTTTCCATGTGCTGTAATTAGACATGGTTTTTATACAAATGTGAATATTTTCTCCCAAACTTTTGCGTTAACTACTTGTTTTTACATGTGATTAGGTTATTAAGCGGATAATGGCTTTTTGTTGACACTACACTTCTGTTTTCATGGACAGTCTTTTGAAAACCTATGAATTGAATGGGAAAAATTTTCCTGGTATTATTGTCAAATACTTTTCTTTGACATATTTATCATTTCTTTCAACATACTTGAAAGCTAGAGTGCCATGTTTATGTTTTTTTTGCCCTGAAAAAAGCCCGATGCTATTCTCTTTATTATTTTCAACGACATTTTTGTGAAGTTATAGAAACTTGCATTTATTTTTATGTACAATATCTTATTTCCTTTTTTATGTATTCATATTAGGAAGGTGATTTATTGCATATGTTACTTTAGTAGTACACAACTTTGTAACTTTACAAATTGGGGTTCTTGTACACATCTTCAGTAAGCCCTGAGGGCTCTCAAATACATTAAAATTTAGTATTTTCTCACATGGTATCAGAGCGAGGTTCATATTCAAGGTGTGCATTTCTCGTCCCTCAAGCATTGTCGCCGATTTTCAAAATGAGTCTCGTGCTCACCTAGTCAGCGTATCTTCTTCCTTGGGTCGATCATCCATGGGTGTGCAAACAACGGTAGAAGTTTATCGACATCGTCTGCTTAATCAACGATCCTAGTAGGCTGTCATCCCTATTTTTGCTATTTGCATTGCCTGATTTTGCTATTTGCATTACTTGCTTTTGCATGTTTGGAATTTGCATCAAGAAGTTTTCATCAAAGAGTTAACTTACTCAATGTTGTGTCATACAAGCTACTCATGAAAATTGTTTTGCTATTTGCATTACTCAATGTTGAGTCATGCAAGTTGCTCTTCCACGGCTTTTTAGTGCTGCTGCACCCATTTGATCTGTTGCTCTTGAAAATAGTTGGGAAGATTTTGGGCTTGTGTCTCGAGAGAAAAGTTCTTCCCAAATCGGTTAGGTAGAGAGTCAAAACCCATAGATCTAAGCTCGCCGTAGAGAGAGATGATCGGGGCATGCCACTTTCACATTCTCCACTGCCACATATCCCTTTGCTGCCAGGCTCCCTTATGATGCCAAACCCTTGTTGAGCCAGATCTGAAACCTACCTTTAAGAAATGCTTTCAGTCTGCCCTTTGATATCGGACCCCTGTTGAACCGAATTTGAAGCCTACATCTGAAAATGACTTTTGAAAACAACCGATCTGCACCATCTGCAAAACAACCATCGAGTCGTGTTTCGACTCTTTGATCTGTCTCTGTACCGAGTCGTGTTTCGACTCTTTGATCTGTCTCTCTGCCGAGTCGTGTTTCGACTATCTGATCTGTTTTGGATCTTACTGTTCTCAACTCCGAATCTAATGTCCAATTATGCTTGTTGATCCGCTGCTGATTTCTGTTGGCTCTTCCAAGTGCCTCCTGTTTAATGATCGAATTTCTCGATCCTAGTTGTTAATCAAGTTTTTAGTTACTTGATCATGTTTAATGATTAAGTTTTCCATTACTCAATCCTATTGGATGATGATTTTTTCGTTACTCGATCCTGTGTAATGATCGAGTTTTTTTCATTACTCGATCTTGTTTGTTCTGGAGGCTTGTTGATTTGCTGTTATGCGAGATTTCTCTGTTCGAGGCGTTGATTTTTTAGATCGCTAATTTGTAGCTGCTCATGCTTCTTTTGTTCCTGCTTTGTTTCTAAGGCTTGCCTTCAGTTATCCAAACTCAAGTTGCTATCTCGTAACTCATCTTGAGTTTGAAGGGAGTGTAGAAATTATAGAAATGTGCACTTATTTTTTGGTACAATATTTTCCTTCATTTTATGTGTACCTATATTAGGAAGGTAGTTCATTACATATATTACTTTTTTTAGTGGTACACAACTTTGTAACCTTATAAATTGGGGCTCATGTGAGAAAATACTGAATTTCAATGTATTTCAGAGCCCTCATGGCTTATTGAAGATGTGTACAAGAGCCCCAATTTATAAAGTTACAAAGCTGTGTACTATTAAAAAAAATAACAAATGAATGAATCACTTTCCTAATATGGATACACATAAAAGGAAATAAGATATTGTACACAAAAATAAATGCAAGTTGCTATAACTTCACACTTCCCCTCAAACTTAAGATGCTTAAGAGAGAGCAATTGGAGTTTGGGCAATAGAAGACAACCCTCAGAAACATAGCGTGAACAGAAGATCGAGCAGCGACAAATCAACAAACCTCAGAAACAGACGGCTCAAACAGAAGAAGCTCAAGCATTAGCAGATCAGCAAGCCCTAAGAACAGATGGCCATATCAGAGTAGGCTCGAGCCATCAGCCAAAAAATTCCAAATCTTCACCGGAGAAAGAAAAACAGTTGAGACAACCGATAAAACAGAATGACACTTAGAAGAGCCAACAAAACTCAGTGTGGATTCAAGACCGATTCAACAACACACAGATCATAACCAACATGATCGAGTAACCAAACAAACAAGCTCGATCATACAAATAAGACCAAACAACGCGAAGATGAACTCAGAAAACCTACAATTTTTTTGTTTTTTGGACAAGTTTCAGAGGGTTGATGACAATATCAGATCAGAGTGGCTAGGTGAGATTTCAGACAGATCTGGACCGTGAGATCAAGATCCAGAAGCAAAAATAGGGCAGTTTTTCAGATGGGGCAGATCTGCTGATTTCAGAGGTCATTTTTTAGAGGTGGATTTGGCGGCGGGTTTCAAATCCGGCTCAATAAGGGTCCGACATCAATTGGGAGCCTGGGAATGACGGGTTCTATAGAGGTTGCAAAGTGCCTCAGAAACCTTCCAAATGCAACAACAACAACAAATACATCAACAATAACGATAAATATATGAGAAGCAAATACGGGGAGTCGAAACATGACTCCACATCAGAGTCTTAGGAATAACCCTTAAAACATGGCACCCACCATCATGTATAGCCTGAGAAACCAGACCCATGAGACCCACACTTCCTCCTCCATAAACCAAGTCGATATCTCTCCCCACTAGTTCAATAGAATATGCAAACCCTTCTAAATTGAGACTTATTTTTCTGCTCCATGGCTATCAATTGATTCCTTGTTCCCTCTCTCTTTCTCTCTCTCTCTCTCTCTCTCTCTCTCTCTCTCTCTCTCTATAAAGAGATCTCAGCATGGCAGCAATCAGCCATTTCAAATTGGGAACAAAGCGAGGGAACAATCTCGCACTTTCTCTCTCTAGGAGATGTTCAGGTACAAAACAATGAGATGCAAACTATGATGAGCAAAGAGACCTGCTGTGGAGAAGACGGGGACTGTTTCTTCAGATTTAATGGATGGTATTCTGTCTAATGAAGATTTCCAGTTGATCAAGGAGCTTAACTGGACACCAGGTCTTCACATGCAACAATACTTTTTAGTTGCCAATATAGCATACCCATTGCAACAGGTATCATGGAGAAAGCAACTAAGGCATTGTGATCTCGCAATGCTAGGTTTTCTCATGAGATATTCAAAGAAAGAACCAAAGAGATCAGGTCAACAGAGTTTTGGTACTAGGCATTGGAGCAAGGTTCAAGGTCATGAGGGCAGCGAGAAGGAGAATCAAGACGCTGGGGATTCGAGTAAAGTTGTTGTTGGGTCTTCTGGGTAAGGTGCAGATCATGGAGAGGAAGTTAAACAGGTGAATGAATCGATGTCTAGCGAGGAGAGAGGAGTGGAGTTTTCCAAGAATCACTTGGCAGGAGCTACAACAACCCACACATAACTTGGAATCTGATCTTGGCTCTGAACTCAATTTGCCCTCCAGCTCCATCTGGTCATGCTCGAGTAAACCCTTATCGACTGGTTCTTTGGAAAGGGTGATGCACACAATATCAAAAAAGAATTGTAGAGAGAGAAAGAGTATTGAAATTTTCAACGATGAGGTATTCCATATCAAGCAATGGAAAATCAGCTTAGTGTGGAGAGTCGAAACACGACTCGACAGAAGGGCTCAAATCAGATGATTGTAGAGGTGCAGATCAATCCGGCAGTCGGTGTCAAAAAACTTATAGCTTTGATACCATATGAAAAACTGTATTTCTGTATATTTGAGCCTTAAGCCCCCATGGAAGATGCATTTCAGAGCTTATCGAAGATGTGAACAAGAGCCCCAATTTATAAGATTACAATATTGTGTACTACTAAATAAAGTAACATTTGCAATGAACCAATTTCCTAATATAGGGTACACATAAAAGGAATGACAATATTGTACCAAAAAATAAGTGCAAGTTTTTATAATTTCCACAGTTTTCACACCTTCCCTGTTGTTTTTTTAATCACCCCTTTCCTTTTGTTTCAATGGCTTTGTGGGGTGTTTCCTTACGGTTCTTTGTTATGGAACTCCCTTACTCATTTCAATGTGAAATTGCTTCTTCTATAAATAGTAGGAACTATGCATTCTGTAAACTATTAAGATCGATTTGATTCCTATTAATGGAAATGCTCACGGTCAAAATATACAAATTATCCTTGCTTTTTACAAGCATTTGAATGTCGAAACACATTTTTTCTGC